GTACAGGATCATCTTCAGCCACCGGACCGAGGGTATGATGTAAGTTACATCGTTCAATTTTAGGCCAGGAGGCGCTGACCATCGATCACAAAGTCTATTATAGCAAAGGAACGGAAATATGCACAGTGATTCGAGCGCTTTCTGTGCCGCCTTACGCATGATGATTATTGCCAGAACGTTTCTCACAAACTGGTGGAAACGCTTGCAGGTAAGATGCAGATTGATCACATCCTCTATTTCAAGATGATCAAAGACCAAAAACGCCATAGACGGATGGCAAATGAGGGACTTGAGCATGTTGTAATTATGGCGCTTGCTGCTTTTGCTTTCGTTGTGAGTGTGCTGCGCGGCGTTGTTTGAGCTCTGCGCTGCGGCAGACGGTGCGGCCGAGGATTGTCTAGTGTCTGGGCCATTGGATGCAGGTCTATGCCCATTGTTGAGAGGCTGAAGCGCAATATGCGGATGGGGAAGCAGACGTCCGTGTCCGTTCGCCTCGGGTACGGTCTTCCGAATGCCTGTATGGTCAACTTGATTTGCAAGGACCTCCCCAGGCGGAGGAGACTCGGTTTTGATTAGGGGTGTTCTGGGCGGCTGACGTTGAGATGCAGCAGACTTATCAAGATTTCCATTATCTCTCACTGGCATATTGTTTGCGGGCATGGCCACATTCCTTTCCGCTATACTCCTCGCGGGTGGAAGATATGGGATTTGAGGCTGCTGCCCATTGAGCTGCATAGCCGCTGGTAAGACCGCTCGGTTCTGAGCAGGCAGGTTTGTGTTCAAACCAGCCATTGCTGCTGCCTTTGGATGGTTTCTGTTCAAGGGTCGTTGAAGATGAAATTGGCCAGCTTCCTGTGGTATCATAGGTCCGTTAGGAGGACAATGACATTGAGGTGCTCTAGTGGCTTGAGCAGGAATACCAGGTGCAACAGCAAGATAGGGAACACCAGGTGCCGCCGTAGGTGCCGGTACATTGGGTATGTTCTGCTGAACAGGCAACATCGGAAATGGGTGAAACACGCCGTTGAATGCCGCGGGAGGTATGACAGGAGCATAAACACCTTGATTCGTTATCTGCACCAGTGGCGGGACGGCTTGACGTCCATGCTGCTGCGGTGGTCCTCTCATCATGATAAGGTCTTGGGGAGCCACACCTGCAAGGATCTGCTGTCTGATCAGGTATGCCTGTAGCGCCTGCTGGCCCGTCAAAGCAACTCGCTGTGCTGCGGCTGGGTTAGCGTTCCAATAGGGGGCCTCTGGCATTGCCGCCACGGCAGCATTCGCTGGTTGCTGTGGAATGTTTTGAGGCATCTGCATCCTACCACCTGCCTGGGCCAATGTCGTGTTCTGACGAGGACGAGGTTCGGCATTCGCGGGCACACCCCAGTTGTTCTGCGTTTGGTAGTTACCCGGATCGTTTTGTGTCTGAATGTTGGCATTTGATGGCTGCCTCGTGCCTGCTGTTCGTTCTCCATACCCCATGGAGAGGAGAATTAGAGCTTCGCCGGCCTCCAATTCATCAGGAGTGCGTTCAGGCCTGGTAGGCGCTTTGGACTGTTTGCGGTCCGCTACAGTGTACCTTTTTTTAGCAGTAATCCTTTCCCCACTTTCATGAGCACATGGAGTCAACTCACTCTGAATAGTTCGTGCCATTGGCGTTTGCCCCCAATCACTCGGGTGCGTTGAAGTGAAAGACACACCTGTTGTTGGTACTGAACACTGTCTACCGGAAATGCCAAGCAGGATATTGACTTGAAGGACTTGTTTGTTAAGAGATACAGAGGATGGGTAAAGCCGCGTCAAGAGGAGAGCGATATACAAGAAAGAGATGTAAACAAAGGACTCGAGATCATCGGGTAATAAATTTTGACACGCGCGTTGAAAGTGAATATCAAGACACTACCACCTGACTAAGACCAGCGGTCCAAAGCACGATGCGTGACCACTCACTACTGCGTCACCACAGTAGAAGATGGCTGATCTCCGATGACATTCACCTTCCAAGTGATGGTGGTTAGGTGGTTAGGGCACAAAATGGGCCATGGACAGTTTCAGCTTGTCAGTTATCAATCCAAAAAGATGCGTATTCATCAGAAATCTTGTAGCAATGACCGTATAGTATGCTGGATATGTAGTAGACAAAGTCAGTTTCTGAACTTGCAAAGTGATTGTAGTGTTGAATCAATCAAACACGCCAGCAAAGTGACTAGGTCCGAGCCCAACATCCAGGATATGGTATATAGGACGCCTAGATGTTAGTGAGGTGCTGTATTTCCGTCGTCTATTTGTTTTTGTCCTGTCACCAAATTCCGATCCTCCAGCTCTGTGTGAATAAATAAAGCAAAATTCGTAAGATGCCTCAAAGATCCGGGCAAACAAAAGATGAAAGAGAAAATTATACATAGATTTTGCATATGCAAAGATGAAGAGAGTCTTTTGTGTATAATGAAAAAGAAATAGAACTCCTTGTTCGCGACATCATCCAGAAAACAAAATGCCAACACCCGACAACCTGTTGAAAGGTAACCACCATAACTCCTTATGCAATCATGAATGTCATCCACTGTTAAAACGGGGCAACAAATCTTAAAAACCCAGACATTCTGAGTCGGTATGAGCGTCACTTTCTGTTGAGGAGCGTCAAGAACTCTTCCCGGGTCTTCGCGCTGGACCGCATGCAACCAAGCATACAGCTGGTTGTCGTAGTGCTGCTGGTCTTCTGTACACCACGCATCACCATACAAAGGTGGGAAGATTCCATAACGACACCAACGCCGCGGGGCTTCAGAACCTCCGAGATGGCAAGGGCGACTTGCTTGGTAAGACGTTCTTGCACCTGAAGTCTGCGGGAGAACATCTCTGCCAGCCGGGCTAGCTTAGATAGGCCAAGCACCCGACGGTCAGGGATGTATCCAATATGCATCTGTATCCCAAGGAATTTCATCAGTGGATATATTCGAAGGGCATGGATGTCATTCCTACCTTTCCAGTAAAAGGTACCATGTGATGTTCGCAGAGGGAAAACACCTCAATATCCTTGACAATGACCAGCTCATCGTGGTCCTCATGGAAAACTGCTCCATTGACAAGATCCCTGACATTCTCTTCGTAGCCTTTGGTGAAGTAGAGCATGGCCTTGGCATATCTCTCGGGGGTCTCCCGCAGACCTTCTCTCTCTGGGTCCTCTCCAATACATTCAAATATGGTTCTTACAGCACCTGCAAGTTTCTGAATGCGCTCTTCAGTTTGTTCAGGGGTAGATTCCAATCGTGCTCTCGTGCCGGGGCCTATTCACAACGTCAATTAGACGGCAATCCAAGAGCCAAGACCACGACAGTGACTTACAAGGCCAACTCAACCCGTCAAAGTCAATTGGAGGATTCGAAGTGTACGGGCTAGATGGTCGACTGGCGCTTGCCGGGGGGGTTAAAGCACCGCCCTCGTCTCTGGGGTCTCGCGGGGGATCGCTCAAAGTAGGCCTAGATGAATGGGATGAGCTTTGTTCGTTTTGATCAACAAAATCTGATCTACCTGACAACGCCTGGATGCCGAACAGGCCCATTATAGGTATCGGCGGCATCACTGACAGGATGAGTCTCTATTTCCGGCAAATTGAACTCAGCGGGGATGCGAGGAGCAAAAGAGGAGCGGATGGATGAGTTTAGACTCTCGCGCTCACGAGCATCACGAACGCCAGTTGTATTGGAAGGGTGAAGAGGAGAGCTACCATTCAAAAGGTGAGATGGAATAGCAGACTTAGGCTTAGGGCCGGAAGGAGGAGATCCAGAGCTCATGGCTGATCCTGGAAGTAATCGAAATACAAAAAAGTGGAGGGGCGATAGGGAGGGTGAGATTTGTAGTGGTAAAGAAGATCGGCCGGACGGCGCCTTGATCACAGAATCAATCAGATGAGTAAACGGATCCAGCACTCAAAACAAGACAAAGAGGACGTCCTATATAAGCAGCGAAAGAATAACAGTCATCATTTATTGCGAGGAGAGGAAGAGGGGGGAAAAGTTCAGTTCAACGGAGGTCGGCGTTTTGAATTACTAGGCAGTTGGCTAGTAATTATTCTTCTTCGGAGGAACTGGACCCCTCCGAAAGTCGTCCAACGCCGATCTGATTTCATCGGCCACTCACCGCCTGACTCAGGGGACAAAACTATTGGTAGGTAAACAACTGTCGGAGAGCTGACTTGCAGGCGGGGGGTTGGCTAGTCCCAGTTTGGCATAGTTCGGGTTTAATTACCGGCCTGAGGCCATTCACGTCCTACGCTGATTACTTTAATTACCACTCAATTGCTCATAGAATTAGTTGAGTCATTGGCTAGGCGATGACAGTCATTGTATTGCCTCCAATAAAGTCTTGAATAACGAATGCTTTTGCCAGGACCACTGTGACATGGGAATGAAACGTCAAGTTCTATCCTGAAATTAATTCAACCATTATATGACGTGCATCTACCATGCATGCATGGTCCTACTGCAGTAGCCTTGGCATTCCCTGGCTATATGGGCGGCAGTTGTTGTTATCTCAATGATGAGAAGTCAGATATACTAAAAAGCGTATGGATATCAGGTCGAGGGGAGAAGAGTGTCCAACTCTCCTACGCTTTGGCCTGACCTGGTGCTTGGTTCGCAATGGTTATCTATGATCGAGTCATATAACAATTCTATATTCCTTCCACCGTAGACGATCAACTAGTTGCTGAGTTATGAGGAAGAAAATGACACCCCGAATCGTCTGACAAGGGCTGGCAGATAAGGCCAGTTCAACATTCGGTTGTCCCCTGTTCGTTTTCGCTACAAGTACTATCATCGAAACGAAGCCTACCGGATACAATTCAGCTTTTCTTTCTTTCCTGACCGTCTTCACACTTGATATTTTAACAATTGCACTACTATGCATAGCTATGCTGGATACTGTCGACAATGTAATTGATCAGACCACACGGTTCAGGTATCAATATTTTCGAGATCATCCTCCATAAACTCTTTAAATCAAGGTTCCAGCTCCTCGGTTGGCACATCCTCCAAATCCTTGCCGACAATCGCATCGGCGACCTTCCATACTTGGAGCAGATTGTCCTCGGCAGCAGAGCAAAGAACCCATGGATCGTTGAGATTCCAACTAAAGTCAGAAATGCGGTTGGTATGCCCGCCGTGCTGGAAGAGTCTGCACAAGTAAATTAGTACCAAATTCACGGACAACGAAAAGAATGCTAGATCGACATACAGCTCTGGTGGGCCGTCTTGGGCATCTTCAGGAGTCTGTTCCTCGCCTGCCCTACTGAGATCCCAGAAAGCGATCTTTCGGTCATAGCTCGCGCTGGCTAGAACAGCTTCTTCGAAAGGATGCCACGAGATCGAAGTAACCGAGTCAGTGTGGCTTTCCAACGAGTGCAGTTTAGTTTTCAAGTTTCGCAGATCCCAAAGACCTATCGTCTTATCGGCAGACCCGGTTGCTAGAACGGTCTCGGCGGCGGGGTTGAAAGCAATGGCATTAATGGCATCGCGGTGTTGGCCCTCTGCAGATGCAGCTGCACGAGTTGTCTCTGATTCTCGAATGTCGAGAATCTGAAGAGTGATGTCATCGGAAACAGTGCCAATAAGGGACGAGTGAAGAGGATGATACTGAACGTCATTGACGATGGACGAGTGGTGAGTGTAAGTTCTGGAAGGCTTCAGTAACTTGTTGCCCTTTGAGTACGTCGTCAAATCCCTGTGTCAAATGATCAGTTACCAGTGCAAGCAGACTGAATACAACTTCTTACCAGATTCGGACTGTCTTGTCCTCGCTACCGGTAACGAGTTGTCCCGCAGTATGCGGACTCCAACTGAGACCGAATCCCTCTTTCGTATGGCCGATGAGCTCCATCTGAGGGTTGACTTGGCCTGTTGGCAGACTCGGGTGTTTCGAGCGATCCCAGATCATGACCCTGCCGTCTGTGCACATGGTAGCGATAATGTTGGGGTTTTGTGGCTGATACCGGGCCTTGTTGACTTCACCCTTGTGATCAATCTTCTGCACAATGTTGAACTTGATTTCCATGGGCGCCTTCTTAGAGCTGCCGCCATACCCTCCGATCTCCCCGCGCTCCTCATCGTAGTCGTCCGGATTGGGGGCAGATGGATTGGGGAGTTGGACATGAGCAATTTGCAAATAATTTTGCGCATCGCTAGAAGTGTGTGTGCCGATCAGTAGGCGATGAGTAGAATACGGTTTATCCGGCACCCTGTGACAAGTCAGTCTATTGCTCTGCGCGAAGCAGATGAACGATGTACATACTCTTGCTTATCGGGAAGCCATTGTGTTGTGAGTGTGGGCCATTCTAGTGCTGTGCTGAGGATCATGTCATAAAGAAAAGGTGCGTTCTTCTTCCATGTCTTGTATTCTGATCAAGGTCCGTATTAGTCACAACGAAAGCGACGCCAGTCAACAAGGTCGATCTAGAATACCTTCGTTGATAATCTTCTCCTCCGTACGCTCTTCTTCCTGCTCCTCATGCTCCTCAACAACAGCTGTGACGAAAGAAGTCAGCAATCATCGACAAAGAGAGGTAATTCCCAGGGCGTACCGTCGTTGTAGGGCTCCATGATGTCCCGTTGGTGCAGCGATTATGTGCACAGGGTGGTCTCTGAAATCCAGACAGACTATTTGGCCTGCGCAAGAATGAATATTACGGTGATTGGCAAGGTACAGGAGTTTCAATGGGGTTGCAGTAGAGCTTTGACTTGTGCATCGAGAGCTCTCACTTGAGAAACGCGATCTTCCTGTCGGCAGCGCGTTAATTGGCGCCGTAATCAGCCATTCCATTCTAGGAATAGCGGCTTGGCGGGATGGCCTCGAAGCCAGCTCTAAAGGTCGCAAAGCGGTCACTTGGAGTCACAGCTTCAGATTCATATCACCACTTTATTGAACTGCTATCCCTCCAGAAGGCGCCTCAGCCGCCTATTTCGCTTTTCTAGGCCTCCAGTGCTAGTCCTTTTTCCTTTTATTTTCCGTCTTTATCTCTTATATTCCCTGAAGATACCCAGTCGTTCCTTTTTTGTCTACGACTATATTACCATTCAGTGAATGGTTTGCCTCCGAGCTTGGGTTCTTCATCGAGTTTTGACGACCAGTTACGACGACGACGACAACAGTCTACGACGCTGCCGCGCCTGATTTGACTGACCAACTTCATTCTCATTAGAATACACTTCGCATTCATCCGCCATGGGTGTTCCCAAGTTCTTCCGCTGGCTCAGCGAGCGCTACCCCACGATCTCCATGTTGATTGCGGAGAATCGTATACCTGAATTTGATGCGCTTTATCTCGACATGAATGGCATTATTCATAATTGTACACATAAAGACAGTGATTCTCCCACGTTTCGCATGACGGAGGATAAGATGTTTATTGCGATCTTCAACTATATCGAGCATCTGTACGGCAAGATCAAGCCAAAGAAGTTGTTCTTCATGGCAGTTGACGGTGTCGCTCCTCGCGCGAAGATGAACCAACAGCGTGCAAGACGGTTTAGAACGGCCCTGGATGCTGAGGTTGCAAAGGAGAAGGCCATCGCCCAGGGAATCGAGATGCCGAAGGAGGATCCATTCGACAGCAACTGCATCACTCCCGGTACGGAGTTCATGGCGAAGCTGACGCAACAATTAAAGTATTTCATCAACAAGAAAATCTCCGAGGACAAAGATTGGCAAGGGGTAGATATTGTGCTTTCGGGCCATGAGGTACCGGGAGAAGGTGAACATAAGATCATGGAGTATATCCGGCATGCGAAAGCACAGCCAGGGTATGACCCCAACATCCGTCACTGTCTCTATGGTCTGGATGCGGACTTGATCATGTTGGGCCTTCTTAGTCATGATCCTCATTTCTGTCTCCTTCGTGAGGAGGTGACATTTGGCCGCCAAGTCCAGAAGAAGCCTAAGGAACTTGAGCACCAAAACTTCTACCTCTTGCATCTTTGTATGGTTCGAGAATACCTGGAATTGGAGTTTCAGGAGTTGGAACAGGAAGGGGTTCTGGATTTTCCTTTTGATATGGAACGAGTCATCGACGACTTTATCCTGATGGCTTTCTTCGTTGGAAATGATTTCTTGCCTAATCTTCCTAATCTGCACATCAACGAGGGAGCCCTCTCGCTAATGTTTAAGATCTACAAGGATGTCTTGCCAAAAATGGGTGGCTACGTCAACGAGCAAGGTGTCATCAACCTGAAGCGCCTCGGTATGCTTATTGAAGCTCTGAGTGATGTTGAGTTCCGCTTTTTTGAAGCCGAATACTCGGATGCGAGGTGGATCAACGCCAAACGGAATGGCGCTGAGAACGGTGCTGAGCCCCAAGAGAAGCCAAAGGGCTTGACTCTCACGCCAGCCCAGAAGGAGCTTTTCAAAGAAATCAAAAAGTATGTTTTGAACAGGCCTGAGAAGGCGTTAGGTTCAAAACCTCTAGATCTTCCTCCCACACTACCGGCCCGTGATCGCAAGTTTGTGGAGCAACTTGCAGACGACCTGCGACTACCGTGGACCACAGTTGCGGACGAACATGGAGACCGATTTATCAGACTTCAGCTGCCTGCCAACGAGGATGATGACAGCGAAGAGGAGGAAGATGAAGAGGCGTCTATGGCCGTACAGCGCGTCATTCGGAGATATGACAATGCGAAGGTCCAGGAGATTTCTCCCGAGGAAGCTCAGAAAGCAGCAGAGAAGAAGTACGAGGAAAAATTCCAGGATTGGAAAGACAAATATTACATGAGCAAATTCGGATGGGGTCTCGACAATCATGAGGAAATGCGGAAGCTGACGGAAAATTATGTGCAAGGTCTTCAATGGGTTCTGTATTATTATTACAGAGGCATTGCGTCTTGGCCATGGTTCTTCAAGTATCATTATGCGCCTATGATCTCTGGTACGTGCTGGGTACCCATCTAAACATATCTTTCAATCTTGACCACGATTTTCTCGACCATCTCATTCGTTTGCTGACCATGACTAGATGTGATCAAGGGTCTGAACGCGGACATGAATTTCAGACTGGGTCAACCGTTCAAGCCTTATGAGCAGCTCATGGGTGTCTTACCTGACCGAAGCAAGCAGATTGTGCCTGCAGCGTTCCGGGACTTAATGACGTCCCCGGAATCTCCCATCATCGACTTCTATCCGCGTGATTTTGAATTGGATATGAACGGCAAGAAGATGGAATGGGAGGCTGTTGTCAAGATTCCATTCATTGATGAACGTCGCCTCTTGGAAGCCCTTGCCACCAGAGAGCACCTCTTGACTCCGGAAGAAAAAGCGCGAAATGGGTTTGGGGTTAGTCTCAAGTTTACTTACTCACCGGAAGTGAACTTCACCTACCCCTCGTCTCTCCCTGGTGTCTTCCCTGACATCCCCAGCTGCCATTGCATCGAGAACATTTTTGATCTGCCTACCATGGATGGCTTGGAACCTTATATTGGCTTGGTCGACGGTGTCCAGCTTGGAGCGGCTGCATTGGCTGGTTTCCCAAGTCTGAAGACTCTACCCCATGTAGGCCAGCTTGGTTTCCATGGTGTGTGCGTTTTCCAACAGGAAAGTCGCAACGAGAGTATGGTTATCACGGTACTCGACCCTGGGAGCAGATCGAGTATTGAGCTGGCTAAGCAGAAGCTTGGGAAGCGTGTCTTTGTTGGCTACCCCTTTCTGCAGGAAGCTCTTGTCATCCGTGTATCTGACGAGCTGTTCGATTATCTGCTTCCGGAAGGAGAGAACCACGTGGTTTCGATTCCTCACACTGAGGCCCAAATTGATCAGTGGAAGAAAAAGGCAGATAAGATTGAAGGGATGTACAGCCGCAGACTTGGTACTATTATTGGCCCCGTTGAGTCGATGGTGCATGTTCAACTCCTCAAGGGTCTGATCAAAACAGATGAGGGCGCCACAATCAAGGAATTCGCCGATATTTTGGGACAGGAAACCGACTATGCGCTACAGCTTGTTGTAGACGAAGTTATCAATCCCGATGAACGCTTCATCGAACGTGATGCCCTGCCCATTGAGAAGGAATTCCCTGAAGGCTCGCGTGCCTTTTTCTTGGGTGATTACAATTATGGAAGACCGGTGCACATTACAGGGCACGAAGACGGCAAGGTTAATGGGTTGATTGCTTCGATCAAGGGCCGCGAGCCAGAGTTTGGAAAAGATCGTGCTAGAGAAGCGGAGAGGCTGTGTCCCTATATGCCCTCATTTGCCATTGCTCGCAGCCTACGTTTGAACCCATTGGTATTGGCAAAGATCACCTCCTCATTCTCTGTTGACATGGAGGGACAGCGCGTCAACCTCGGCCTGAACCTCAAGTTCGAAGCGAGAAAACAGAAAGTTCTTGGCTACTCCCGTCGCGGGGAGTCTGGTTGGGAATTCAGCCCGAAGGCAGTCGATCTCCTCCAGCAGTATATGATTAAATTCCCAGAGTTCATTGCTGGTATCCAACGTAACCCTCAGAAGGACCGTTACCAGCCGACAGATTTCTACCCGGAGGATGTTGCACTTGTGAAGATGAAGGAAATCAGAGATTGGCTCAAAGCGATGGAAGCCAAAAAATTTGAGAGGGTTCCTCTTGAGGCTGAGCAGTTGGATTCTGATGTCGTGAAGTTGATTGAACAGGACGCGGATCAACTCGTGCAGAGTCAACCTCCAATGCAGCCTAAGAAGATCAGAGGTGTCCCCCGCAGCGCGCTTCTGCGGCCTTCGGACGTCGAGCAGCGTTTGCAGAACCAAACTTTCAAGCTTGGAGATCGTGTGGTCTATGCTCAAGATTCTGGCAAGGTGCCCATTGCCACTCGAGGAACAGTTGTCGGCCTCACTCGGACGCCCCGAGCGATGTTACTTGACGTTGTCTTTGACGTTTCCTTTATGAGCGGCACCACTCTGGGAGACCGCTGCTCGCCATTCCGCGGTCAAACAGTCTTGGCTTCATCCGTTCTCAATGTTTCCTATCGTCAATTACTGGCCAGCACACGGGCTGCCGCCAGTCAACAGCCACAGAGCCAACCTTCGCCTTTAACTGTGGCAGGATACGGTGCTCCGCTTGGTCCTAATGGGCAGGGCCAGCTGAAGGAGGCTCCGGCTCCTCCTCCGTTGGCCAACTCATACCGTGGAGCTGTCTCAGGCATGGGTAATACACGAGGAAACGGTGCTCCTCATAGAGGACGTGGAGGTCGCGGTGCCGCGAATGGAGGATCGCCCCAGACTACTTTACCGTTCCGGCCCCACCCCAGCAGCGGTGACGGCAGTGAACAACGCGGCGGCAGGGGTCGTGGAGGCATGTACCGTACTCGTGGGGGTTATGTGTCTGTGGATAACAGCAACCCGGAGGCAGGCGTGATCAAAAACAACCCTCACTTCCGGCCTCAGAATTACTCCCAGGTACCGCCTCCCAAAGCATTGAATCGTGGCAGTGGACGTGGGGGCCGCGGCGCTTTCCGCGGGTCGGACAGAGGAAGCGGGTCCAGAGGAAGGGGTAGTCACCGAGGAAGAGGTGCAGCTATTATAAACACTGAGTAAACGATGTGTTATGGTGCTCCAGCTGGACTTCTAACAGGGTATCATG